TAATACGGAAAAAAAAATCATAACACATTTACTTTAATATAATGATCATAATCAGATATTATTTTTCAGCTATCAAAGTGTTTTTTTGTGTATCCTATTGAGTTATGAAAACATTATATAACGAGAATATATGAAGTATATACATTGATTGCCCCCAACAACCCACTGACGCTCTAAAAAATGCCTTTTAAAAACATGTTGCACGCTAAAAAGTTACCTTTTTTCTGATCAGCGCCCTGCCCTTTTCAAATCCTAGCTGGAACACTGTTAACCGTAGTGGGCCATGCCCCTCTTCTCAGGGAATCACAAACTCCTGTTATATAAAAGTGAGTCCCTGTTGGACCAGTATATACTCCTTTACCCAATTATGATCAAGGCCAAATTAAGTTAAAATCTACTAAGCCGTTCAGGACAAGGAGTGTTTTAAATGAAACTTGATGGATGGGTGGACGGACGGACGCCACGCCATGACCCCATAACTAACATTTCATACATTTTTGATAAATGCAACAACACCAAATTTACAAAGTTTTATTCAAAATATATGTCAAAAAGTAAATAATTTCATAGAATTGCATTTTGTATCTCAGTTCCTTTTTTTTTTTTTTATATAAAGTAAGGAATAAATCTGAAGTAACATAACGAAATAGATATCTACATATAACATTGACCTCTCATCACAAATTGAAGATACTATAATGTTAACTTGTATGGCTAAAACAAATTCTAATCACACATTTAGCTGATTTTTAAATAAATTTGATATTAAACTACCAATATTTTTAATGTATCTTTAATTTAAATTAAATGAATAAGACACTATAATGAATATATTGCTAAAATAATTTCCGAAATTAATTTTATTTTGCTATTGGTTAAAATTAATTAATTTGACACATCTTACCACAAAACTTTAAGGTATTCTCAAAATTAAAATAAATTTATTTTTTTAAGAAAATTGAATCAATGCTGGTTACTACAAATATAAAGGTATCCATAACATTAGAAAAAAAATCATCTTCCACCAGGGAATTTGTAACAAATTTCACAATTTGTGAAAACAGTAAATATCAAGATGATATAAGAGAAAAGTTTGTTCCAACTCTGTTGGATGCATCACAAAATTTGTTTTCACTATAAAACAAAACTAAAAAAGCATTGCGGGTAACTATATATTATTAGGTAAGCTCTTAATACAAAAATATTGTTTAACAACATTGATCTAACGCATACAGAAAGAAAGTGCGAGACAAACGTCTGATATTGTGACGTGTGAAGTTTGGCTTAAATATCACCACAATGCATTATTTTTAGGGTATCTTCTTGCTATTTTAAAGTTTGCAAAAATGATTTTGTTTTGCCACACATGAAATGAAAATATATAAACCGTATGCTATGGTTATACTACCTTATTTACCCTTGAGCCGAAACCAAACAAAATCTAGTACATACATAATAAACATGGTACAATCATAAATATCTTCAGAGATGAATATAAATATCAATGAAACTGACAAATTTTCATAAGCCAATGCACAGCAGGGGCCATTATCATAAATGTCTGTCCACAGATATTTACAGGATTCAATAACAACCTGGACAATCATTCAGTCTTCCAAGACAAAAATGTCCATCAATATTCAAGCCTTCATAGAAAATAATGTTAAATTTCACTGCAATATGTGGTTAATAATTAAGACATTTACTCAATAGTTATTACTTGCCCTGAAAACTTCATTGCAAATAGCGGAATATTTTACTGAAAATTACTGAAATAAACCAACTAAAATATCATATGACCATTTATGGAATATTTCCAAAAAGTTGGGGCTTTTGCCAAATTCCTGTATTTATTCAGCTGAAAATAAATTAAACTGCTGAATTATAAGTATAGTGTTTTGATTAAGTCTTTATTTGGATAAGGTAAATATATTTTTTACGAAATAGTTATAACTTAAAGCAGCCAAAAAAGTTCAGGGCAAACGCATCCTCAGCAAAGTAGAACAAAGTTTAATATTGCAAGTTATTTCATTTCTCATGTTTAAAGGACAACAAAAGCAGTCCACGTTAATATAAAAATTGTGTTTGATCACAAATCTAAGTTATGTTCTATTATTATGTTAATAAAACTTAAGGTTAGTAGGAATATATCGTAATTGATAAATATATATATATACAAACATTTAGTGTAACAATAATAGACCTTATCTAGACACTTGCTTGCAGGTGATGTAAAACAAAATCTTAATTATTCCCACTAATACAAAATAAATCACCTTTGATTCAAAATCACTTGGTGTAAATATCGTGTACAGTCCCTATTGAACTCAGCACAGTTCTTCTGCACGGACATGGCTTTTACTGTACTATCTATTTACCCATTCTACATGGATTTGATTCTTACTTTACGATATATTAACTAATTTCAATAAGGATATGGTTCCTTGACTTTCTTGTTTAACATAGTGTACTAAAGGTCATAGTCATATAGTTAGTTACAAAACATCACACTGTAAATATATATGAGGATGTGTGTCTATTCTCTACTATGTGTATGCAAACAACTGCTGACAGTCGATTCATACTACAAACATGTAACCTGTCTTAACATGATATGACATGGGCAGAAATAGTCAGGGTCAAGTGTATGCAGAGTAGTTTATATTGGATATTAATATTCCAAATATATTTTACATGGTTTGAAGTTTGTGTACTTCCAAATGAAGCGCTGTAAAGCTTCCAAATGAAGCGCTGTAAAGAAGCACTGGTAAAAAAATCAGTAAATATTCCATTTCAAAGTTTGATTATTCTAAATACAATGCCAGTCAACAACAGTACATATTTTACACGTGGAATAACGTATTTGTTTAGATATTTTGGATCAAGGAAAACATAGAAAGGAAATTCAGCAGCCCTAATTCAAAGCATGGTATGAAAGGGGATCCATATTTGATTGGAGCTGGTTAAGACAGGTTATAATGCAACAAAAAGTATGAGGATTAATTAATAGCAAATTACACCGGTACATAAACCTGTCAACTTAATGCACAACTTCCAATAAAATGATATCACAAAGCTTGCATTGGTAATATTTTTGTCAATACCATCCGAGCCAATAAAAGTTATTTAAATTAATATAACTTTATCATTTAAAAATATATTGAAGTTGAATTGATCTTATCTGTAATATTACGAAATATCAAACAATCATACAGAAGTTGACAGGTAGACAAAGTTTTTTGGACAAAGTAAACAAGATAAAATGAAATACAAAATAATTTGGCCATGATATCAAAAAGTGTATTATTAGCAAAGTATTTCATATACACATAGGGAATTTCCTTTTGATGAAGGATAGTCTGATTCACCGTACAATATCTGAAAAAGAAGGAAAAAACCCATCATGAACCTTCCTTAGGACTTATATATAAATGCATTGTTTCGAAAAAATAGAATATTTAAAACAAATACATGCACAAGTACAAGTAGATTGTAACATATAACTGTTACATGTCATATAGCATCAACTAAGATTAATTGCATACCAAAATGACATACTTAGAACCCTTCTGTTGCATTTTTGTAACCATATAGAAATGTAACAAATTACATTTGAACTATAATTATAATTTTAAGTTTTACATGGATGTACAATTCAGAGGAATTTGAAACTTACTCTTTCCTTAAATAACCGAGTCTACTACAGAAAGTTTGAGTTATTTTCCTTGATTCATAGCGAGGGAAGCAAGCTCCCACAGTTGTTTGCTTCTCTACACCAAGGTTGAATGTGAATATTTACTGGGTGTTTGGTCTGTTAAATGTTTGGACCATATATAATCATGTAATCAAAGAAATGCACCTAGTGAAAAATATCATCCTTGATATATCATTGATCATTTCCCCTGGACTATCTATTCAAAAGCTACAGCATCAACTTATTCCTACATATCTCTTAAATTGCTCAACTGATCCTTCAAAATCAAAGGCACTAGCTATAGATAACCGAGTAATTATAACACGGTGTGATATATTTATATGGGCAGAGCATTACCTTGTTTAGGGTGGTGGAGCCGTGCTGGTTTCTGTAAAAGATAATATGATAGTTTAAGGCAATATTTCATGAAAACTTGTTACTTTAAGTCACTACAGCATAAAATTTGAAAATTATTCAGGGAAATCATTAAAGGTAAACGTGATGTTTAAGGATACGCACAGCCTAATGGATTAGTGGTATAATACTATTCGATATGATGAAATAAATGCTTGTTAATCTGAATTGTATAAACGTTCATATAGCACTACCAGTAAAACATTTATGTGAACTTTAATATATAATCCATACTTACCGATCTGAAACAGATGTTCAGAAAAACTAGAGAAACTGACAAAGGACAGAGATATATCCCCAGCTTTATTTTTATCTAGGGATTCTAGGTTAAATAGTTGAATCACAAATTTATTTCTTCATACACTTCTACATATGCTGTACTATCTTGCAATGTGTCAATTAACAAAAAAATCCAACAAACGGTTTAGTATGAGTTGAGCTTACGAAGTAGTCCATAGACAGACGGACAGGGGATTCCTATCCCCCAACTTCGTTATCGTTTGCGAGAGTATACAAAATTTACGAATGATTTTCATATTCATAGTAGGTTTTATTTTGTTAATTTGAGTTAATTGTTTAAATGTTTTAGAAAGGTGGTCATGTATTTGAACAAACTTGATTGTCCTACATCTCAGCATGCTACTGGACAAACATCACCCAAAATCTGTTGGCGACTCAAAAGAGATTGTTTAAATGTTTAAACAAATTTGAACCCTGTGACCTTGGAAGAGGGCCAGGTCATTAATTTAAACAACTTGATAGCCCATCAGCTCAGCTACTTCAGGCCAACTATCATCACCGTTAGCATATTGGCTAAACGTTGATGTTGGGAGGAAGGACAAACGAACAACAAACACTGCATACATGAAGAGTTCAAATTACCTGTATCATTTTAGCTATCGCACATGGTAACATTCACATGTGGATATAACACATTTTTCCAGTGTTGTCCTTCGTTCCATGCTTGAGCTTTCTGGTTCTCAGTGCACATCTCACCATCGGTAATTAACATATAGGGTTGGTGAATACACTGCTTGAAAGCCTTGAACGACCTACAAAGACAATCATGTCAGTCAGACTTATATGAAGGTAGAAAAAACGCTCATCAAACAGAGGCCCAACTACCTGTTCGATAGTTAGTGGGTTTTTTTTTAAAAATATTTTTAATGAAAAACTGCTTGTAAAGAAATTATTTTGAAGTATTCATCAGTTTTGATTTCTGTGATATTGTATACCAGTCACTTGAAGGTAGATTATTGATCAGTGCTTCTAAACCTTCATGCTACAGCTGAAATGAGGGGGATTCTGGTTTGAGATCGTTTAACTTATATGACCTTTGCTAACTTATAAATGTGCCAAGAACATTTCTTTGATCAATGATTAACCTTTAAGCAACATGAATAACGTACCTCTCCTCATTAAATTCCAATCAATCTTTTATAATAAAAAAAATATCAAGTTGAATTGGAGCTATATACTACTTCACTGAAATAGATATTTTGACCCGATAGAAATCCTTAAAATCGATGCAATACTTTTGAAACTCTTTCCACATTGCACACATGTTTTAACATCAATACCAAATAGCACTTGTAAGGACAACCCTAGCTTTATGGATGGTTGGCAATTAATAGAAGGCTGATAATTTTAAAGCATTTTCAATATTTCATGAAGTCCGTAAACATGTTAATGCTTTGTAGTGAATATATCTTCTTCATTAAAAGGATATTATGTTTGTAAAATGTGTATTGGAATTATAGCAAAATAATGCAGAGAATACATATTTGAGTTTGTGTGCAATACCTTCTGAAAAGGATAATGGCCGTTTACATAGAGATTAAGATGCATGCATATTGTCTCGGTCTAAATACATTTTGAAAGGTTTGAACTTTGTATGATGTCAAGTTATCATCTGGACAAGCAGAGTTTTATTTTTAGCAATGGTGATGTTGTCCTCTGATGGACCATGCCTAAAATCAAATGACTGCAATTCACACCATTTGAACTATGATTGATCAACTGTTCTCATCTGTACAAGCCCAACCAAGCCGAATTCTGTATTCAGCAATACTAACTCCGATCTCTGGCGTACAACGTCCAAAATTAATAGTATTTACTAGGACAATCCACACACCAACTTTCAACATTGTATGATCAATCGTTCTCATGTAATCACCCGGACAAGCACTAAGTTCTGACGGACTGACACGGCACGACTATATCCCCATTTTTTTAACAGAGATGAAAATCAAACACAAGATAATGTTAAACTCACCAGCACTCATCTGTGGGATCACTCCAACTCCAAAGATACAGAGAATGTAGGCACTGTGATGTAAGCTTCAACATCAGTTTATTTGGGTGATTACAAATAGATCCATTCAGCTTCTCAACTATAAGTAAAAAAAACCAAGACTGATAAGATTTTTGAAACTATTCAGTTTCCTCCCTGTATGCTCTCCCTATGGGCTCCTGGATGGTTGGAGCCATATAATTTACAAACTTCGTTTGATGTTGGCCATTGACACCCCAATTTGTCACCAGATTGATAATGATATGAATCACAATACCAGTTTTCTTGTGATTTTCAGTAGAGTACATTTATATATTGTAAATGAACTATGGTAAACAAAGAACAACTATTTCGTTTACTTACTATTTATACAGTAAATAGATTGTATTTTCTGTCTTTCTGAAGGAATATTTACCTGTCCCGTTACATTTCCCCAGTAAACTAAGGTCAACCTTTGATCCAATATATTGCATCGAACGTGTAGCAGCCATCTTCCCAGACAATCTGAGATTACTAATATCACATTTCTCTCCCTCTCTGTCCAAATGTGTCAGGATGCATCCAAGTTCCATCTCATACACACTGAAAGTATAAAGATCAAGGAATTTGAACTCCAGGTAATGGTTACTACTGGTCAGGGTAATATTTTTCGTACCATTATGCTACAATCACATGATAATAAAACCGAATCTAGATTATTTCCAACTGAAAATAAATAATCAACACATGAAAAGGTTATTTTCCTAAATGTGCGACCCTAGAATAACGAAATTCACTCCTTTGATAATGCACTGTAGGACCTTTCAGTCCATGAGATTATCTAATTCTATCATATTTGGGGATGAAGACAATTGTTAAAATTTTAGCCAATTTGACCCATTTCATCTCCACACATCTGGTCCTTTGTAGCGAAATAAATATAATTCAAAATTTGGTTTGCCTTTGGCCATGAAAGCTTCTGCAATATTTTATTAAATAATGTGAATTAATTGAGGACGCAAGAACAGACAATTACAATAGTTTTAATGGGACTCATGTGACCTAAATAATAGTAAAAGAGTATTTTCTCTCTTTCTAAGAGCTAGAATCAGCGTAGCAGGCACTAAAAAGTGTTTTGACAAAATGCCAATTTGCATGCATGTGACATAGGTTTTAAGATTGATTCACACCATCATGTCATGTAGTACAACCATATCACAATAGATTGAGTGTCATCAATTTTGTCCCATATTTCATGTAACAACAATGGTGCGATACATTTGGTTCTAAAGATCATCTCGAGAGTAATTTTACACAATCGGGAATTGTGAGAGAAAAACATTAATGTTTAGTCAATCCTGTCTGATGTAGAATGACAGATCCCAAAGCGAGCGTAACATATATAAGGTTCAGTACGAGGAATTGTCAAGTCTGAGAATCTATTAATCTAAACTGAGAAAAGCTTAAATGTGATATATAAATTATATCAATGTAATACCTGCACACAAGGGACTGCAAATGAGGTGGAATCAACGATGTGTTCACTGTATTCATGGGATAATACATTTCACCATTGTAACTGCCGTTCTGATGTGTGGATGATCCATTCATAGAGTCAGCTCCAGTTGTAATGTTTTGTTGATTGGCTGTTCCATTGGTAAATGGTCTATCCGTTGTGAAGTTAGACAAATAGTGGCTGTACATATTGGAGGCCAGTTGGTAGAGCAAGTAGGATGTTCCCATCATACACTTGTTGTACAGTGAGTAGTAATGGTTGGAATGTGTGGGTGCCAGCAAATATGCAGGTAAGGCACAGAGCTGTCCATCACTGCTATTACCTAGAAATTAAATTGAATATAAAGTCAGTGTTAATCCTTAGTTGGCCAAGATATAACATATAACAACATTCAATGCAAAGATACAAACATTATTCTGCACAAAATGATGTGAAAATATTTACATAAAATCAAACCACATTACGTTCAAAATGAATAGTCAGAAAACTGTTTAAGACTCAGATCAATGGAGAACATTCATGATTCCAAACACATTTATGTATCAAACCTGAACTTCAGTAGTTCATACAAACTTTAGCCCTATACTTATTATAATCAAGAAAATAATGCTCAGAAAATAGTCAAATTTTGTCACATTTATGACAAAGGAAGGCATTGCAGACAGCATTACTATTCCTCCAAGTACTAGTACAGCATCATGATTATGTTCAATAATAAAGCTTTCATAGGTACCTAGACATTTACACAGATACACAATATTTAAAATCTGACCTGTTGTTACAATATGCCACAGGAAAATGTAGCCTTTATATATACTTTCGCTGTTTGATAATGTTTTCTTTCCTCCATTAAATTGTTTGTATATACTGTTAAATTACTTTACCAAACAACTGTAAAGTTCTGCTATGCATACTTTGACAGGAACCTGGTACATATTTTTAACCTAGAGACACATTAATTAATACAATTTTCAGTCTACGTATCTCTTTACACGTGTAAAAAGTAACTGGACGTTCAAATCATACATTTTGAAGAACAAGAGATCCCAGAGCGATCTTGGCGCCCACCTTTGTACCATCTTCATTAGTTCTTTGTCAGTTCGATATTTTCTCTTCTTTCCTCTAATCTGTTTGATCGAGTCATGTTAACAGTAAATGCACCTTGAGGTAACTTTTGATCTAAACTTAATACTGATGTGTATGAAAGCCAACCTTCAAAGTGAGTTTGTCATTTCACATATTTACTAGTACAGTACTTAATGTGAAAGAAATAGAATCGATCATTGCAATATGAGAAAGATCTGTTTAGTTCTTC